ATGTGGAACCTGGCTGCCCGCTTTCCCTCCCGGTTCTTAACACCTCTCACATCCTGCCTGCAGCGCCCTTACCCCGTGATTTATTAAACTCCAGGTGCCAAACCTGCCTGCAGGAACCGTGGTGGGCGTAGGTGGTGCCACCAGCACCAGCCTGGCTCATGCTTATGGGTGCATGGCAGTGGTTAGGAGTTGGTGCTCCATCAGGGACACCTTGCTGATACTAGTTTTGTGGTTTTATTTAACACTTGTTGCTGTAGAAATAGCAGCTGAGAAGCTGGAGCGCATGGGTGACCACGTGGGAAGTGGTCCTTATCCTGAAGGTGAAGTCTGGCTTGTTTTCTGGAGTCCTCAAGGTTGCCTGGTGGGGTGGCATCCTTAAGGCATCACCAGATGTGGTCAGTAATGGCATTAGTTGGTGTAGATGCCACTTAAGGAGGCTGTATTATTTTGCTTAACTGTACCTGTTGCTTGTACGCTACTGAAATACTTCCAACAAGCTCTCTGCTAGAGGTAGTAGTGACGTGTGGATGCAGGGAGCAAACAGCACTGGGAGTGCACAGGCAGGAGCAATCCTGATGCTCTTCCCACACATGAGCCTTCCTGGGTGCAGGCAAGGAATGAAACTGCTCTATTCCTTCACTCTGTGCTTGGAGCATACCCCAGAACTAGTTCACTCCTCGGCAGGGCACCCCACCTTTGCAAGGGCATCCTTTCCACCACACAGACCCCTTTTAGTTGCATCTGCAGGAGCAGGTAAGTTCATTCATACCCTAAGTTCATTCTTGCACCCCAGAGGCTTTTCTTTCCACCTCCAAGTTGGAGCTTACATCTGGTGTTTCAAATAACAACTGCTTCACCAATTTATTTATTGTGGTTTTTTGAGTATGTACGTATTTTTCCATTGCTTCCTACATCTCTGCCTGAATTATTATCCAGATGATTCAGGTGTTTCCTATAGCCAGGTTTCTAAGCACTTAGTCATTTCCAGTGCATCTTCCCTGGGTAAATTGGTGCCAGTGGTGCTGTGGCAGGGGAGATGCTCTGACTGCCATCAAGACCTTGGTGGCTTTTGAGTGTTTTCTTCCTGCGTTTAAGTGCTTTTCACTCTCTGAGTAATGTGGTAAAATGAGTTGTTCAGAGCTATTTCCCCACTTGCTTTATCTTTTTGACTTATAATACAGTAAAAGATGAAGTTAAATGTTCCTAACCACCGTGAACAGTCTCATGCTGGAGCCTGAAATCGTTTGCAAAAGATGTGAAGTGTTGAGTTTCTACCAGTGTTTTTCCAAGTTCTCCACTAACAGTGCAATGAGACAGTTCTCATGTCACTGTTCCTTTGCTCATACCCTCCAAAGTGACCTCCTTCCAGTCTCTTTTATTTTGGTAAACCTTTTTCCTTGCCAGCTATTAGCTACAAACTGCTTTTATTTTAAAAAACCTGCATTAATTATGGAGCTTAAATAAATGAGACATTTTGCCAAGCCAGCATCCTTGGACAAGAGCTCTGGGAACAACAACACAAGAGGGACAAATCTAGAGGAGGCCATGGAGATGCTGTAAGGGCTGGAGCATCTCTGCTTGGAGACAGGCTGAGAGAGCTGGGCTTGTTCAGCCTGCAGAAGAGAAGGCTTCTTAAGGGGAGACCTTAGAGCAGCATCCAGTGCCTAAAGGGGCTACAAGAAACCTAGAGAGGGGTTTTGGACAAGGGCCTGGAGGGACAGGACAAGGGGGAATGGCTTTAACCTGACAGAGGGGAGATTGAGATGAGCTCTTAGACAGAAACTCTTCCCTGTGAGGGTGGTGAGGCCCTGGCACAGGTTGCCCAGAGAAGACGTGGCTGCGCCAGACGTGGCTGCCCCATCCCTGACAGTGTTCAAGGCCGGCTTGGATGGGGCTTGGAGCAACGTGGTCTAGTGGAAGGTGTCCCTGCCCATGGCAGGGGGTTGGAACTGGGTGAGCTTTGAGGTCCCTTCCAACCCAAACCAGTCTGGGATTCTATGAAACGAACACTATCTCCCTGCTTCCAGCTCACTGCTCCACCACCTCCTCTACACATGCCTCAGGGAGAGGGTTGAAGAAGGGGGGAATAAACCAGGGCTCATCACCCTGGAGATCACATCTCTGGTTTGTCATGGGATCATGAGGAGCACCAGCACAAAGCTGGGGCTGGAGGATTTATCCCACTGCATATGGTGGGTGCGTGATTTCAGGCTGCCCAAGGGACGCTCTGTGCCTCTCAGAATGCTGAACTTGGGATCCTAGGAATTTTGCTTGCCAGGACAAGCTGGAGTTCTTTGGTCATCCTACTCCTAGGCACCAGCTGTGCTGGGTTTCTCTTGGCTCGGTGCTTTAGGTCCCCCGGGAGGAGAGAGCAGTGTCTGAGCAGAGGTGGGAGGAAGAAATGATCCTTTTTCTGCTGCTGTCAGCAGGAGGTACCTTGTGGTGCTGCAAAAACCATCCTGATAGTTCAGTGAATGAAATAAAAAAAAAACAGACCAAAAAAAACCCCCACCAAAACCAACCATAAAAACCCCAGCAACACAAAAATCTGCACAACTTCTCATACAGTAAGTGACTGGAGAATAAAAAACAGCTGTGCAGGGAAGACTGTTCAGGCAAGGAAAGTCAGGACCTTCTGGAGTGGAGGAGGCTACTCACCATGCACAGACCATGTAGCCCCTCTAATTGGGTGTTGGATGGTTTGAGTGCTGAGGTGGTGCCGAGCACCTATCTCCTGATCCTGAGTGATCTTAAAGGATGAAGGAGGGGATGGGACCTCTTCTGCAGGGCTCCAGGTGCTGCCTGGAGCCCATATGAGAGCAAAGCTGGGGTCACAAACCATGTAGACGAGGCCTTTAGTGGCATGGTTTAGTGGTGGTTTTGGCAGTGCTGGGGAACCTTGATGATTTTAAAGGTCTTTTCCAGCCTGGTTGGTAATACGACTTGATGATTCTATGCTCAGCAGGAGGAAGGTAAACAGGCACCATTCAGGAGCAGAAGCCTTGGCCTGGGAAGCTCAGCAGCAGCTCAGCCAGGTTTACAGATGCAATAAAACTGCTGGAAAAACTCTAGGAGTGGTTCAAAGTCATCATTATCTGCTTTGCAATATGTATGAGTAGGCTGGAGAAAGTCATTGCTTGAAAATGTCTACAATGAAAACTCCCTTTTGGGGAAGGAAACATGCTGTTAAATGCTCTTATTTTATAGACTCTACATAAGTGTTAATACTAATAAAATGGCACATGCTGCTTCTAACCAAGGTGAGAAGGCTGTTGGTGTGCAGCAGGCTGGTTGTGCCCAGAACCCTGTCTGAAGAGGCGGAAGCAGTATTGCTGCTGGGCTTGCAGTCCAGCCCTGCAGTGAGAAATGATCTAATTGATCAACCTGATCTAGTTGAAGATGTCCCTGCTCATTGCACAGGGTTGGACTAGATGAACTTTGAAGGTCCCTTCCAACGCAAACTGTTCTATGACTCTGCGAAACTCTTGGATAAAAAAGCAAGCTGATAAGCTGGACCTCTTTGTGCAAGCACTCGGGTTGGAAAGGAGAACTGAAAGGAGAAAATACAAAGATAATCCTGGCTTTAACCTCCTGAGGCAGCATGTGGCAATGCTGTTTCACTTCTGCTTTGCCCTGTTCCCACACCACATGCTTGCAAGGGTAATAAAAACCGGCAAGAATATCCTGTGGGTCATGCTGTTTGCACTGAGTGTCCATCTGTCCTGGTGGCCACCTACAACTGGCTCAGTCTCCTTGGGTCTTTAGATACTGCAAAACCAAGTCTCACTTTCACAGTGGGATTATCTCTGCTGGGTTTTATGGCACAAGAGATTCTAAGATGTGTTTATAAACAGGCGAGTGTTTGCACTGATGTTTCCTTTCTCTGTGCCACAGGCAATCAGGATCATTCGTGCTGTCCTGGAGAAGTATGGGACCTATGAGAGCTTCGAAGTTGCCACTGGTGGGAGGCTTCTGAGCAAATGCCAGATCTGGTCTGTGATCCGAAAGTACATGCAGAAGGAAGGCTGTGTGGGAGAGGTAATCTGTGTCCCTGCTTCATTGCTTGTAAAATACAAATATTTAGTTTCTGATAAAAAGGACTCATTAAGAAGAAATGTTGTGAGTACAAAGAGGAAATCTTTCTTCTGTCATAGTGGCCTGTCCATATGTGGTGTCCTTTCCATGCTGGCTGTATTTGCTCTACCCTGGTGCTAGGACGTGGGTGCTGGTTCCCTGTCAATTTCCCGTTATCTTTTCGCTATATCTCCCTTTTATGCTTGAGAGGTAGAGAGAGGAGCTTCTGCTTGTCTGCATGACCGTGCAAGGAGCTTTTTGCTGCTTGCATGAGGTATCAATTACCATCAGGAAGTCATCTCCTGCTGTTAGCAGTGGTATGGCAAACATCTCCAACAGCTGCCTTCACTGACATAGCCAAAAGCAAAGGCAGGGGAGAGATTTCCTGTGGGGTGCACTGGGTTATGGCACTTTGAAAATCCACCCTTTGGTTTTAAGGCTGGGAAATACCTGGGCACATATGACAGTAGCCATGTGGGATGGAGCAAGGGGAGAAGTTCAGCGTCTCTTCATCTGGTTTCCCAGTGACCCCAAAAGCATCCAGTGTGGGATGTTCTGCAGCTTTGGTTAAGTGGCGTTTTTTCCCCCTTCTACCAGCAAGGTGTGGTCAGAACGCTTCCACCGTCCTGGGTTCAAGCACTGAGAAGGATTTCTGGACCTGGCTTTGCTTCTTTCGGCTCTTGGTGCTGCCTTAGGCTGTTGGCCGCAGGGCAGGAGGCCATGCAGTGCTGGCTGGCATGGGGGCTTCCTCACCTTTTGGCCAGGCTGTTCTTCCTAGCTCTGATTTTTCACCTCCATCTCTAAACAGGGTCATTCACAAGCATTTCTCTGAAGCACCAACTTGCTTGGTGCTACCCAGCATATTTCATGCAGGAGGGAACAGTTCCTGAGGTCCTATCTGGCCAGGGGACGTTCCTCCGCCAGACCCCTTGGTTTGCCCTGATCCCTCCTGAGGGTGTCCCTGGGATGTGGATTGTGCACCTTGGTCCTCCTGAGCCTTTGCTTAGGATAGAAGGGATTTCTGCAAATCTCTTCCTACAATGCCCCATCCCTGGCAATGTTCAAGGCCAGGTTGAATGGGGCTTGGAGCAACCTGGTCTAGTGGAAGGTGCCCCTGCCCATGGCAAGGCATTGGAACTGGGTGAGCTTTAAGGTCCCTTTCAACCCAAACCAGTCTGGGATTCTATGCTTCTAATTCAGCTGCCTTTTAGTACCCAGAACCAGTTCCAGTACCCAGCCTAGCAGCTGGCCCATCTTACAGATCTGCACTTATGACTTGCTTGTTGTGGTCTATCTCTTGATTTTATTGACTAAATTCAGCTATTCCCCTCTTCTCCATTCATCTAACCCAAATTATGCTATGGCTGGGCAGAAAGACATCTTTTCCCTTACATGTTGGTGTACAACTGGCTTCCAGCCCTGTGTAACTTTCGCTTTGCTCAAAGGAATGCGAGGTTCAGTAATTACATTTGCACACCAGCGTGTGAGATTCATGCTACTTTATCCAGAATTTTTGATAAGTACTTTTAAAACCCTTAAAGCATTGATATATTCATTGTTACCCATTAGGAATTTTGCTGAGTTGGTCTGGGGCAGGGAAGAGAGAAGGGTTTTATGTGCTCTTGGTACAGCAATGTTGGCCAAGCTCGTGCCTTGTACTGGACAAAAACACACTGAAACTTCTGTGTCACTGATAATTTAACACCCTGCCAGGGAGCGGGGTGGTTTCAGACACGTATCCCCGAACTCCATGCCTCTATCTGTGATTCCTGATTTCCACCTGCTGTGCCCCAGGCTGTTTGCTTCCCTGACACGTATGAATTGTGATGGCTTTCTTGAGATGACGGAGAAACTCTAGCAGGGACAGTTGTGTTAGCCCCAGACTGGCCCACTGATGTGCCAGCTGCCTGCAGGCAGCATGCTGCACCAGTGACACTCACTCACTGCAGGCAGTGTGGCCAGGCCAGTGACACTCACTCACTGCAGGCAGCATGGCCGCGCCGGTGAGACTCATTCACTGCAGGCACCATGACTACACTGATGACACTCAATCAGTGCAGGCAGCATGGCCAGGCTGGTGGCACTCACTGCAGGCAGCTGCCCTTTGTCCTCAGCGTCCATCGGTGAAGGCAGGATCCCACTTCTGCAGGCAGCGTACTCATGGGTAAGTATTTGCACAATAATTAACTTGGCGTCTTCAAAAGCTGCTTTGTCAGGGTCCAAGCTGCAGATCCTGAAGCTCTTCTGCTTTTCTCTGGCTCAGAACCATTCTGGTGCTGCTGGAGCTCAGAGGTCTCCATATGGATTTCAGGGAGCTGCCAGCTTGCAGCAGAGAAACCCCTGGCCTCTTTGGTAAGTGCTGTGTGGCAATCCCTGGGGTTAGAAAGTGATGTTAGTTCAATAGTGGTAGCTGGCATCATAGGGGATCCCATTCTGGTTGCCCCTCCACCTCCAAGCTGTTCATTGCTGGAACTTTTCTGGCACGCGAGGTCCTGAGCAGTTCCAGGGAGCTGGGGGGAGGCAGGAGCCTATGCCCCGGTGCCATCAGCAGTCTTCCATCTGGGAACAAGCTCTTTCTCCAAGCTCTTTCTCCACTGCATCCCCAAAACCTGAGCAGAAGCTTCATGGACCATGAGGATGCACTGGAGATCCTGCTCAGCTCGATATAGGTCACAAACATGGAGAGCTGCCATTGCTGCTCCAGGAATAGGACTTTGGCTGAAGTTGCAGACCCTGTTGTAACAGCATCTGCAAAGCTGGAGTGTCCCAAGATAAAGCAAATGGAGCTGCTCAGTGGGCGGATGGGTAGCTGCAGCTGGAGAAGAGCTGCAGACTGTTTCGTGGGAGCATGCAAAGCTGTGGAGAGTCCCTTCCCATCGCTCCCGACAGCTGGCTCTGCATGGGAGGACTCTCGGCACCTCTGTTTAGTGAGAAAAATGTATCACTGCATTGTCAAAAAAGGGGAAAAGAAAAAAGAACACAAGCCAGTGCCTCTAAAAAGTCATCACAGAATCACAGAGTGGTTTGGGTTGGAAAGGACCTTAAGATCATCCAGTTCCAACCCCCTGCCATGTATGGACCCCTTCCACTAGACCAGGTTGCCCAAGACTCCATCCAGCCTGGCCTTGCACACTGCCAGGGATGGAAGAAATTTGCAGAAATCCCTTCTGTCCTAAGGAAAGGCTCAGGAGGACCAAGATGCCCAATCCACATTCAAGGCCAGGTTGGACAGGGCTTGGAGCAACCTGGTCTAGTGGAAGGGGGTTGGAACTGTGTGAGCCTTGAGGTCCCTTCCAGCCCAAACCAGGCTGGGATTCCATGATTCTTTGTTTTGGTTTAAACTCTGTCCCCTGGCTCTCCCCTCCTGCATCCCAGGATTTTAGCCTCCACTAGTGGCATTTGGGATTGCCATGTCAGATGTCCAGGGTGTATTCCCATCACATGGAGCTGATCTACGAGATGGGAATTGGTTAAAATCATACCAAAAGCTGGCTCATTCCTGCCTCTTTAATTCTGCTTATGGTGAAAGCTGTAATCTTCCCTGCCTATCATTGCTGACAACAGAAGCTGCTGCTGCTTCCAGAAGTCTTCTCCTCACCAAAAGCCCCCATGAGAACTCATGAGGCTGCTGGTGATGATCTTGCTGGAAATGAACCTAGAGCATAAAACCAGTTTTACTCTGCATCAGTTCCCTGCCTCAGTTTATCCCAGGTCACCAAGGTCCATGGCAGGACATGGGAGAGGGCAGCAAAACTGCATCCTTACATGTTTTGTCCTACTTACTGGAGCAGAAACGAAGCTCAAGAGTGTGCACAAGTCCGAAGTGAACTGACAAGTCTTTTCTCAGAGGTGGAGGGATTCTCCTTCACGCTGGTATGTTTCAATCCAGGTAAGTAATTGCACTGTGTTTGATACCAGTTTGTTTGCCGAGTAGTAGACTCTGCTCTGTTCTGTTGCACTTCAGTTTTCATGAGCAGCTTGGCATAACAATAAATGTGAGTTAAAGCAAACCCATCCAGTCTCCTCTTTTGTTTTTGTTTTAAAATGCAAAGAATTGTCCTGTAGCAATGTGTGTGCATGTTTTCAATCTGAACGATGTCAGCTGTGCAATAACAGATGGGGTTTAGAGTTAATGTGTATGTGGGGGAAGAATTCTGAGATGAAATTGGGATGTCCTGAGCAAACCTCCAATGCAGGGGCTGCCTCCTCTGCTGATGTTGTGGCTTCCAGTTGCTGCAGGTCTGAAGTTGGGTGGTCGGAAAGTGCTGCTTGGCTGGCACATTACCTCCTGTTAACATAGAGCAGCTGTCCTGGCTCCATCACTTCCCAAAATAGTTGATATTTTCTTTGTAAAGATACTCACCAGTCCTGTGCATGCGTTGCCTGTCCCTGCTGTGAACTGCAGTGGGCACATGCAGATCCTTCTGCAAGGCTGGGCTGGTATAGATCTGTCCTCACTGCTCCTGTCTTGGAGCTTTGAAAGGGAGAATCCACAGGAGAGTCCGTGAAAATGGAGCCAGAGCCTTGGTTCTCTCTCATGGGGTGTTTATTGGGGGTCTAGAGGTTGGACCAACAACAAAGCAGGTGCTGTTGGTTGTTCTGGTGTCTGATTTTACTGCACCATCCCACTGCTAGTGGGGATGCAGGAGTGGGACCAGGTAGGTCTCAAGGATGGCCATCAGTGTGGACATAAAACTATGGACATAAAAGCCCATAGGAACAAGCTGGGGGGCAGGGAATGCTAGAACCAGAGGGATGTTGGAGTAGGCTGTAAAGAGATAAAGGAGTTATCTCCCTGTGGGATCATCTCTTTCCTTTCAGCGCCCTCCCTGCCTGCTCCTTCTGCTTGTGGTTTCTCTGAGGAGCTGTAGCACACGCTGGTGATGGTGCAGCGGTGCAGGTCACAGTGTTGGTGACTTTTTTCTGATCATCCACACCCATCAGCTTTTGCTTGGAGCCAAGACCCTGCTGAGCATCTCCTCCTGCAGCAGTCTGATGGTGGTTGCCTCTTTCTTCTGCAGGTGGTGGTGCAGCTCACTGACAACCTCCTGTCCCAGGCGGTGATGATGGTGGAGGACAGCCGGCCGACACTGGCCATCAACCTGGCCGGAGCCCGGCAGCACTGGCTGGAGGGGATGCTGCGCCACGAGATCGGTCAGCAGCACAGTGGCTGTGGGTGACGGTCAGAGCAGGGGTGATGCTGTGAGCATCCTCTGGCTGGTAACAGCCTGGGAGCGGGGAGGACTACAGGCAAGGTGGTACCCACTGGGTCCTGCAATGAGGCATCCTGGAGGCAGGTTTTGGAAGGGGATGAGGCCACTGGGTCCTTCTCTGCATGCGGGGCCAGTGGGCATCAAACACCCACCTACATACCCATGTGCCTGCCTGTCAGCAGAACTAGCAGATGTCCCATGGCAACATCTCCAGCCAGGACTGGAGCCAGTACCCATGGGTGTGACTTGGCAAAGGGTGGTGGAGTTGAGCTTTCTGGAGGCTGTGGACGTTGGTGCTCACTCCCACCCTCCTCCCCAGGCACCCACTATATCCGGGGGCTGAACAACACCCGCCAACCCTGGCACAGCTCTGAGGGCCGCAAGCAGTACAGCCTGAAGCCTGCCAACCCCACGGAGGAAGGCTTGGCCAGCCTGCACAGCGTCCTCTTCCGCAAGCAGCCCTTCCTGTGGCGGGCAGCCCTGCTCTACTACACCATTGAGCGCGCCAGCCACCTCTCCTTCTCCGCCCTCTTCCAGGATCTGGAGCAGTATGTCCAGGATGCCAGTATCCGGTGGGAATACTGTGTGCGAGCGAAGCGGGGCCAGACTGACACCTCACAGCCAGGTAATGCTCAGGGGGTACAAAGCCTTCAGGGTTTGGAAGGGATTTTGTATTCTTTTTAAAAGAAAAACCAGTGGTGGGTTTGTTTTGCTCCTGGGTGGGTTAAGCATTGCTGATCTTGTAGCCATGCCATCCTTGGAAAGGATGGCTTTGCCCACCCCATATTGCTCCCCATTCCCATCAGGTGGTTCCAGTCTGATGGGAGTGACTTGCACAAAGAAAGCAGCAGCCAAAAGAGATAAAATGAGCATTTCTGGACACAACTTACATTCTTGCCTTTGTATTACCATGAAAAAAATGTTAAAGGTAAAAAAATGGTAAAAATTGGAATGGTAAGAAATGGAAAAAAATCATAAGGAGGAAGATGTAATGTCAGGTTTTAGCATTTAAAATTATGAAGTGTTTAAGGTTATTAAGCTTTCTTCTTGTTTTGTTTAATGGGCTGTTTTTTAATGACTGCTTTCTAGGGAATGTAGATTGGAACTGACACAAAGCTGACCGGGAGTAAAGTAATAAAGCAGGCAGGCTGCAAAGAAAAATGACAAATAATTGGGAGGAAGGGTGAAAACACCCCAGGGAGAGGTTTGGGGCTCTCACTGCTCCTGGCTGCCTCCATGGTCACCGGTGCTGCTCCTCAGTGCTCATCCTTTGGGACCCAGTGGTCCTGGCCATGGACATGCAACACCAGAGCCCTGGCACACTCGTATCACCTTAGCGCAGTGCCATTGCTCTGGTTATAGCAGTCAGCAGGTGTTGGGTTGAGTGGAGGGTGGTGGGAAGTCAGGCTCCTGCTCCCCAGCCTCTCCTGCTCTTCCAGGCTGTTTCAGTAAGGACCAGGTCTACCTGGACGGGATTCTCCGCATCCTGCGCCATCGGCAGACCATCGACTTCCCGCTGCTGGCTGCACTTGGAAAGGTAACAGCCAGGGCTCTGATCACAGAGCCCTGTCCCAGCCTATGGAGATAGGCTGAGAGCTGGGCTTGTTCAGCCTGGAGAAGAGGAGGCTCTGGGGAGACCTTAGAGCAGCTTTCAATGCCTAAAAGGGCTACAAGAAACCAGGAGAGGGTCTTTGGACAAGGGCCTGTAGGGACAGGACAAGGGGGAATGGCTTTAACCTGACAGAGCGTACACTGAGGTGAGATCTTGGGAAGAAGTTCTTCCCTGTGAGGGTGCTGAGGCCCTGGCACAGGTTGCCCAGAGAAGCTGTGGCTACCCCATCCCTGGTGGGCTGCAGGGCTGGGACAGACACCTTTCTTGGCACGGTTTGGGATGAGATGTGGGGTGCTGAGACCATCTCCCTGCTTCCCATCAGGTCTCCTATGAAGATGTGAATCGGCTGAAAAAATTTGGGGTCCTGGAGAAAGCCCGCATCCCCCATTTCATGCAGGACCTGGAGCGGTACATGAAGCAGCTGGACCACATTGTCACCACCAACGGTCTGAATGAGGAGGAGCTGGAGCAGCTGCTGCCTGACTGAGGGGCAGCAATCCTCCACAGCCAGCACCCCAAGGGTGTAACTGCTGAGATTTATGTGATACGTATTGGGACTGGAGCCTGGAGGAGTGGGCAGAGCCTGGGCTTCCCCCTGCACCCAGGTGGCTGATGTGCATGTTCTGCTGTGTAGGGTAGCACCAGTGTGGTTCGTGTTGATCTGTCGTGTCCCCCACACCATCCCCTCTGCACTTGTGGGGATGGCTGTGTGGTTTCACGTGGCTCTGGGGAGCTGGAGAAGGGGGTTCAGAGGGAGCAAGGGCAAATCTGTAGCATGTGCTGGCACACCAGTCGATGCTATGCAGGGCAGTTGTAGTGGGGGGGATGTCCTTAAGGTACATGGGGTGCTCCCAGCAGAGTGAGGGGCATCTACTCAGGGCTCGGGGCTCTGGGCTGTGCTGGCAGGGAATAAGGGCTGGCCCATACCCACTGATCACCCCATGCATGTGTTCCCCCTCCCTATTCCTTCCCTCATGCAGCAGTAAGGACTTTAACCCCTCCAAATCCCTGCTCTGCACCCCAGGTATTTGCCCACCATTAGCCATCGCCCTGCAGCCACTGCCTGGCTATGAGGACTCGGGGTGGGCATTGGGCATGTTGTTAGGAAAAAGCATGTAATAAAACTGATGTAATGGAAACACTATGTGGGCAAAAGGTCATGAAGCCAGGCTGCATGCAAGCAAAGCTGCACAGCCCCAAGCTGCTGCGTCAGGAGCAGGATGGGTTCACCAGACTGTGTAAAACAACAAGTGGGCAGGGACATGAATAAATCACAGCAGGCAAAAGCAGAAGCTGCCTCTGCACTGCTCCTGGTCTCTTAACATGTGATCTCTGCTGCGGTTATGCCACCCATAGGAGGGCCCTTTTGTTTAGAAAACAAAAAAGCACAGATTTGGTTTTAGCTTCTTGTCACCTTTCATCCCACCGCACTCCTGCAAAGGGAGCCCAGGCCGATTTGCAGCTCCAGGAAGCTCAGGCTCAATCGCAAAAACTCCAGGTTTGACTACGAGCCCAGTTCACAGCATGCCCAGCTGCCCAACACTCCGCGTCTGGCAGGAGAGCTGCAGCCCCTCTGCAAGGTGCAGATGCAGCACAGAGCAAGCTTGGGAAGGGATAAGACCACTTGTACTGGAGAGGATTTTGCTTCCCTCTGGTCCAGGTCTCCAGTATCACACTGGTGTTTATAACAGCTCCCCTGTCTGAACACACTGCCAGCAAGGTCAGTTAAGAATCTGCTCTTTAATGTGCTATTTCTTCCAACGTTGCCATCTCCAACCTCAAACGTGACGCAGCGCTGCTTTAAAAAGGTTCAGACACACACCCCAGCATCACCACCCTCATCATCCTGAGGAGTAAGGCCTCAACTGGCACTAAGAACCAACCAAGGGAAGACTCTTGTGGCACTAAGAACCAACCAAGGGAAGACTCTTGCGGTGCTAAGAACCAAGGGAAGACTCTTGCGGCCTTTCTAGCAGAATGGCAGTAATAACAGAGGGCAACGTAGCTACTGCAATGGTTTAGGTCGCAATCCCTGATGAAATAACAGTATGGAGATGAGGCAAAGTGTTAATCTTTCTCCCCAGCAGGGCTAGAAGCGCTTCATCTGGCGGCGTTCTTGGCGGCGTTGCTTCTTCTCATTTGGTTCCTGGCTGGTGGGTGAAGACTCAGCTGTAAACCAGGGCCCCAGGATGTTCACCCACAGCAGGTAGAGAGCGCGCCCCGGAGCCTGCAACACACACGTGGCACAAACTCAGTCGCACTGGGGCTGCTCCCACTGAGGAAGACAAAGGAGCTGGAGTATCTCAACAGGCTGGATCACAGGATGCACAGAAATCAAAAGCAGGCATCCAATATAAATGGCCTGATTTCATACAGTTTAAGAACTTGCATATGTATCCAGCACTTAAGCTGTGTATATGGAAAGCCCAGCATCAGGTCTGAATTAACTCCAACTGCTTAACCATTCTGCTTCCCCCTCCTTCAGAAAACACACCCACATTTCTCTGAATTAAACAAATGTGATCCAGATGGTCTCCAGGGGATAGTCAGAGTCTAGGCTGCCCTCTGCCAGGCCAGTTAGAAAGGAACATTCGAGTACAGAGTGAAAAGAGGTAAGTTTTCAAAGATTCACTGGCACGTGCTGCCCAGAGAAGCTGTGGCTGCCCCATCCCTGGCAGTGTTCAAGGCTAGGTTGGACAGGGCTTGGAGCAACCTGGTCTGGTGGCAGGTGCCCTGCCCATGGCAGGGGGCTGGAACTGGATGAGCTTTAAGGTTACTTCCAACACAAACCAGTCTGGAACTACTATAACATTGCCTTAGGTACCTTTGTGGGATATATTCAAAGAAAATCTGGGATTTTTTAACTAACTGAAAATTTTCTCATCTTCTGCAAAAGCAGTTTTAGCTATAGGCACATGACAAATGTGTTAGGAGTAGAAAGAGTCTGGTGTGTTAAGGGGAAATCAAAGCCTACAGTGTTTTATCTAACAAGCAGCCCAGTGTCCAGCAGTTCCCAGCCTCAGCCTGTGCTGGTGAATGACTGAGAAAACCAAACAAGAAACACAGTCTGTTTGTCACAGTCACAAAAAGGCTCTACACACAAAGATGGCTTTGATCCACCTCATGTTTCTTGCTGCGCTTTCACAGGACCAGAGAGAAAGACCAGGGCAAGCCAGATCCAGAGGGATCAGGACTTCTTTCCCTTGTAGGGACTCATTTTAACAAGATTTGACAAGGAGATTAAAAAGTTTATCAGAAAATAGTTTTGGCCTGAAACAGGTCACTGAAATGAAATGGATAAATAATGTTCTCAGTCTTGAAGGCAGGGACAATGTAGAGCAACACGGACAATCACAGGGGCTTACCAAGAGCCAGAAGTACCAGAGGTAGAGCGAGAAGCAGCTCAGTACTTGGACTATGGCTGTCAGCAGGATCACATCCTTGAGGTGCCTGAGGGAAGAAAAGCAAAACATGAACCTTCTATTCCAGTCTCTGCTGCACACAGCAGCTCCTCCAGCACCACAGCCTGTTCGCGCTGCCTCCGAGGAGCAGCTCTGCCCACCCGTTGAGGCTCTGCTTGGCCACACAGCGTAATCTAAAAGAATCAGAGCAGTAAACAACAAAAATAAATTGATGAGTTAAAGAGCCAGGCTTCCTCTGAAAAGGGCATTGAGAAAGCTGAGGAATGCAGGGGGGTGGAAATCAGCAACAAAACCACCTCCCCCACATCATGAAGCAGAATCCAGTGCCTGCTGATTTGACACACATCATGGCATGAAGCTGAGATGCTCATGGCTGACTGCACTGAAAAGAAGCATGCATCTTCCCCATGACACTTAACAGACACTCGGAGTCAGCAAAGGGCTCGGGGGTACTGCATGGACAAGCACACCATGGCCTGCAACGTGAGCTACAGCGAGATGGCACCCTCTCCCCTCCTGCTTATCCAACCCTGGGGTCTTCTACACCAGCCTGAGGCAGAGCCAAGAGCAGTTACAGAGGGGAACAAGCTGCTCACACTTCAACCACTGCTCTCAGGGCACCTGACAACCAGGAGAGGTGAGCAGGTATTAGTTTTTTCAACAGGAGTCATGGGAAGTGTCATGGTGGGTTAGAAAACACCAACTGTTTCACTCCCATTAAATCATTATCTGTCGGAGTAGGAAATGCTCAAGCCACATCCAAGAATGGAGTCAAGAAGACAAAGGCAAAATAATCAAATAGCTTGTCTCATTCTGGGCAGCACAGCAAAGTGACCAAACAGCTGGTTCAGGCTGGGACACCATCATCAGGCTCAAGACACTGCAAAATGCACCACAACCGCTCCACAACCAATGAGGTGCAGAAATCTCGTGTATCACCAGAGGACAGAGGGATGATGGCAGAGCTCCCACGGAACCCAGCTTTCCTAGAGACCAGCAAGGCCGCCCTCCTCAACCCCAGAGCAACACAAAGATCTGCTTCAGTTACAGACAGCAGGAGGCAAACACCACCAAATCCACAGCGTTACAGAAGCAGCTCCAAAAAAGCACAATTTCATCTGCTGCAGCACACTCAGGTGAGAGGCAGGAAAACATCCCCTGTGTTCTGGAAGTAACCACTAGCCCAGAGTGGTTCCACCATCCCCAAAGTGGCAATTTAGAGCTGACAAACGGACAGAGTCAATGGGAGGAGCACTGAGTGTGTTAACACTTTATGCTGATGTACCAGCAGGGTTAAACTCTCAGGGCTGAGGGCTCTGCACAGGTACAAAGGCACAGGGTAAGGATGGGAACTTGGGCTGTACAGCTTTTGTTTTGACAGCTCAGCCTCCCCTGTGCTTTGCACAGCCCATGCCTTGGACAAGGATCAATTAATTTTAACGTGTTATAAAACTCACCCCAACTGCTCAGGCAGAAAAACCTCAGTGCCCCCGTACTTGTCACCTTTTCACAGCAGGTAACAGGATCCATTGCCAGCTCCTGTCAGTCATTTCCCCTGACAGCACCATCATTCATCTGCGTGGGGCAGGTACCAGGGCACCCACCCTGCCTTGGTGCCTTACACATCTCCCAAAGGCACCTACCTCAACCAAGATACCCCAGATGACACCAAACTTCTGTGTTTTCCTTATTCAACTGTCCCATGGTGTCATTCACAAAAAAAGTATCCAAAACAGAATCCCAGACTGATTTTGGGTTGCAAGGGACCTTAACACTCATCCAGTTCCAACCTCCTCCATGGGCAGGGACACCTTCCATTAGACCAGGTTGAGCCAGAACAGTGTAAAATGGGAGAAAAATGCTCAGCTGACCACCAGGAAAGAAAAATCACTATAGGATGAAGAAGGCACAAAGCACCTAGTTCACAAGTCACACTAGAAATAACTCCCTCTTCCTGGCCACTTCATTGCTTGGCTGTTACACCAGGCACCCAAGTCACTCTGGCTGCAGGCAGCAAATCTACTATTCCACTAACAAAAAGAAAGATGACAGCTCATTCTGTGCAGACAACAGGTTCTGTGCTGCACAAGCAGGTCTGCCTGCTGGTAACACCTGCTGCCTGCAGGAACAAAACTCATGTTAAGAAAAATAGAAGTGTACTACTCAGTAGATGGCCCTCCCAGCATGAGGAAACTGACGTGACGCAGCAGGCTCAGCTGGAAGCACAGCCCTGCTGTGCTTCTTGAAAAGCCTGGCAGCAAGTGTGAAGATGGAGGTAAACCTGAAATCATAAGCCAAGGGACATGAGAGGGAAGGGGCCAAGGACTCCAGGTAGCTCACTCAGCACACACTTAAGAACCCCAGCAGAAGGTGGGCCAGCAGATGGAGGCTGAGGACAGGGACACAGAGAGCAAAGCCACATGTCCACAACTGCGTGGCAGTTTCCTGTAACTACTTTGAGGCCAACTGTTGGAAAACACATAAATCTAGAAACTGTTCCTGCTGCTTCATTACCGTTGTCTCCTTATTTTATGTAACAGAGCTCTGCAGGAATTGTCGTTATGTGCAGTTTGGTCAAGAGTTGGAGCACTGCGAAGAACGCTGGACTGGCAATCACTTGGTGCTGTCTGCAGACAGACATGAGGCATTCACAAGCAAAGGGAGAAGAAAAGGCTGAGGAAGTGAAAGAAGCTGGTAAAGGCCAGGTTAGACAGGGCTTGGAGCAACCTGCTCTAGTGGAAGGTGTCCCTGCCCGTGGCAGGGGGTTGGAACTGCATGAGCTTTAAGGTCCCTTCCTACCTAAACCAGTCTGGGGTTCTATGATTCTAAGGCAGAGGGGAGGGCTTTTAGTGTGTAGAACAGTTCTAGATGCAGCCAGTTTGCAGCCAAGATGGAGTAACTAGCAGCCTTTCTGCTCTGTCAAGCACTACCTGCAGTGCTGGTTTAAAAAAGGAATGTATGTATCTGCGTGTTGCAGAAGTGTGCACAGTATTAGCACTGTTCCTGCACTGAAAGACGGCTGCAAGCTGCTCCAGCTGAGCCATTTGGGATCTCTTACCCATGTGCCTCAGCCCTTCAGACAGTGACTGTTCCAGGCTGACATACCCATACTAGTGGCTAGTGACTAGTACACGCCAGGCCAAGCATTCAGATAACAAGGGAGAAGTTCTACTGTGAGGGTGGTGAGGCCCTGGCACAGATTGCCCAGAGAAGCTGTGGCTGCCCCATCCCTGGCAGTGTTCAAGGCCAGGCTGGATGGAGCTGTGGGCAACGTGGTCTAGTGGAAGGTGTCGCTGCCCATGGCAGGAGTTTGGAACTGCATGATCGTTAGGGCCTTTCCAATGCAAACCAGCCTGTGATTCTATGATTCTCAGATGAAACAACCCCAGCTCCCCTCATACGTGTGGGCCAGCCAAGGTGGGAGCCAAGGTCTGGGCTCTCCCCCACGAGCCTCCTGGCTCTGCGCACACGCTCAGGCAGCAGGTCCTGCTCACCTGGGCTCGTGTGGACACTCACTCTGCCATCCCCTGCTCCATATTCAGGTCAATTCCCCCGTCGGCAAGGCTGCCATCATCTGTGAAAGACGGCTTTGCCATGGAGCTCATGGACCGGTAGCTTGTGCCGTAGACCACACAGCTGAAGATGAAGGCTACCTGCAGCAAGGG